ATAATGGAGCTAGATCGTTCATTATGCTGATTTACTAAGCGCGGAGAGGAGTATGAGGCGAGAGAGCGCTACAGATGAGAGAGCGCCAGACAACAGCCTGATAAGAGAAAAAAGTCTGCAGCTTCAGCAGCTTACTTTGCAAGGCCCAAGCGCTCTTGTCGGTTGGTTTCCGTGCACGGAACGCCACATTTGTGATTGTCCTCTAGGGGTCTATACTACAGACCGAAGAGAAGCGTTCACACGACCTCTGCCTGGGTTGTGCCTTTAACTTCTCTCCTTGAACTTTTATCCCTCGGAGGATTGTTGGGAACAATGGACCAGGGTGACCCATGAAGTCGAGAAGATCCAAAGTGCACGTAGATTTGCAAGGCAGTAATGCTGCTTATTCAGACTTATAACTTACGCTCGATTCTCATTGTTGAGCCCAATAAAAACACAAGAATCTTTGTAGTTGTTGCCGATGATGATGGCTTTCACTCCTTTCCGATCAGAAATCACCGTTCTGTTTCTCAGGATTCGCACTAATTTCGACCTGAAAACTGCTCATTTTATGTGCATTTATTCATTTATTTATTGGTCCACTTATTCATTTATCCATGCACCCAAGGGTGCGGTAGAACGGTGGTAATCTAACAGGAAAACGCGTCGTTAAAAATGGAATATTGCCCACGAGCAATGGAGCATTCTAGCGGAGGCGGAACGTATGGCACTAAACCAGCATCGGGTGTAGGTCAGGAGGTCCGGATTGTGGTGGTGGACAGATTTCCTGGCTATATGACCGGCAATTTCGGATGTTGTGAAAATTTATCCTTGAGCTACTCGTTTGATGTTACTTTAGAGCTCTTATTCACAAGGATTAAGGATAAAGGATAAAGCATTTGCCGTTGATCAATCCTTTTTGGGATGCGGCACGCATTCTACTTCCATTTGTACATTCGCAGTGGCATTTGAATGCGATGTGGCCTATACAATGACTTGCGGGGGCCAGCCGATGTTCAAGTCAGTGTTTTTATCCTCCCAGACAAGTCTGGTACCAATTAACCGACCCGGAGGGATGGAAGGCTTGGTTGGCCCGGGCGACTCACGACCCAGGATTTGATCCCCGGGACCGCCCTTGCGTCGGTAAGAGCGCAGCCACGTTGACTAGACACACTTCGCCCTTGGAAAGTGGCGTTGACAGTGCGCGCGTTCACAAGGGTTACTCATAGAAATGAACAAATTGCTTTTTTTCTGATCCAGTTAGGCTACTGTAGCAAGTGGGTCAGGAGATCCGGATTGCGTCAGCGATTTTCGTTTTTTTTTTTCGCAGATATTTTGACTTCGTTCATCCTGCCGTACATTTCCACGATACAAATATACAAATGAGCTAATATGATGGTTGAATGTCCAATCATTATTTATCATTTCTCAGAACGGATATCAGAGGCAATCACGTCTTTCTGTGGAAGGGAAAAAAAACTTAAAAGTGATAGAGACTTTCCAGAAGACCCTCAAAGAATATAGATATATAATACAAGACAAACAACAACAACTACAAAAGAATAGACCGAGAGAATAATACTATATAAGACATATAATAGAACAAAAGACAAATGCATCGTTTTGCAGAGACAAAGAATAAATTCGAAACCCTCGCCGAAATCAGAACTCCCTTGACCTAATCCCCGCCACTATCACCTCAATAACGTAATCCATCGAATCTCGCTTAGCCCATAGAAGCCTTCCGTCCCTCCAACTTTTTGTATATGACTAGTACATGTAAGATTACAAATGCACTGAAAGAACCAACCTCTGAAATGTTCTTCTTAAAGAGCATCGTGTTCTCATCGCCATTGTTGTCTTGCGCATAGATGATCACGTTTTCCACACCAGTCTGAGTAAAACTTAAAAGGCAGCAGAGACGATAAAGTCAAGAAGGCGATTTTGTGCACGTTGTCGTGTCGAGTGGTACTCTAGCAGCGCCGTAAAAAAAGACAGAGAAAATCGCTTAAGAAACGTCATTGGGCGCTCTTTTTTGGCCGCTTGGTTTCACTGTCTATGTAAGCAGGAGACAGTCTAAAGTTTATCATATGAACGAGTTCACCGCAACGTTTGATGGCACCATGCGAAAATCACGCTCTAATCGAGATGCTTCCATTTGCGCCGCTGCTGGCAACGCAGCTCGTCCAAATCACCAACTAAACTGTGGGCGGATCGCTTTTGGGGGCGGAGCGCTTTCGAAGTCCTGCTCAGCAACCAGCGCACCTTTCGTCGTGAAAGCGCCACACCTCGCTTCTGGCAGCCAAGTAACTGATTCATGTGGTGCACGTGCTTCCCCGATGCGCTCCCTCTTTGTTTTTCTGTTAACGCCTTCTATTAAAGGAAGCGGTCACGATAATTTTCATAGGAACGATAAGAAGCTATGTATTGGAGTGGATAGAGGTCCTGCCCAATGTTACAACACGTGAAGTTTCAGTGGCAGTGGCGCCTTATCAACGGAGTGATAAGGCGCCGAAATCCACTTCCGTTCAGCAAAAACCAAGACTTATCGATGTGGAAAGGGGTGCGATAAGAGCGTGCTAGATATGATACCGTTATCGTTATCGTCCCGTTTTCATTCTGGAGTGCACCTCTTATCAAGCAGCCGCACCTTCTTATCTCATCGTATCATATCTTCCATGGGCTTACACTCGTCCAACAATTACTGCCTCACACCTTATCGATTGATAACGCGAGGGTAGCAAATCCAGCGTGGAAGCCAGCGTGACTGCTTCCTTTAATAACTGAATGTGCAAAACTTAAGGACCGAAGTAACTTTCACATGATATCTCACTGCTAGTTAACCTAGGTGGACCAAATTTGGCACATATATAGAAGTAAATGTTGCGGTACAGTGCAGAGAGTTACTAACAGAAAAGCGCAAAGGGGCGATTGGAAAAGACATTTTTCTGCAAATACCCTGTCTGAAGCGGTCGATGGGTGAGGCTACTCCAACTCATGGTAGACATTCAAAAGAGAGGAGCTGTCCTGTCTCACGTGGCCAACAAGCCAAAACGCGCGCTCTCGTCAATGTGTTAAGAGTTCTTGTGGAGAAGCGATCCATTCCTTGAAGACCGCGATTGACAACTGCTGGACAGTTGTTGGCGCATGGGGATGCGCTACAATAGCTCTCCTGAATGCACGCCACACGTGCTCCATAGGATTTGACTGGGGAAAGCGGGCAGGCTCCACCAATCGCCGGAAATCCTTGCTTCCCAAGAGTTTTCAAAACTTGGGAGCCCTCTGAAGACTAGGAACCAGGTGGCCCAGGCTGGACATGAAGTGTTCTTTGGACTTCAATTTTCCCTCACATAAGGCCTTATGGTCAATGTGATAAATTGGGACACTCGTAAGCATTAGGAAGTGTGACCGGTGAAAATAGTTGTCTAACCTGTTACTCAGTGGCACTGGAAGACTACCCTGGACCATCCAGCGCTCTCCACAACGCCTCAAGATAATTCAAGGGAAAACCATAGGGAACTCACTCAAAACATCACTGCGCCTCTCAAAAGTCACTTGCCGAGTATGTTCACAGTTCGTGCATTTCACAAACACATTCTTCACTTTGTTCTCGTCCGGTGCTATATAGGCGACAAGCCTGAAAATAGAACAATTTTTCCATTTTGTATTTTCAAAGTTTTTAGAATGATCTTCAAAAGGAATCAAAAGGCTTACCTTCCATCCGGGCTGAGCGATACCGACGAGTATTTTGGGTCCGAGAAAAGAACTTCCCTGGGTATGAGGGTGGCAACTGCCAGTGGGAGCAGCACCAAAGCGGAGAGGAGCATCCCTGAATAATGTCACGATGATGTAAGTATTTTAAATAGATGGAGCATCAATTTTAACATTTGGTACATGGCTGATTTCCGAAATGGACAATAAAAACAACAACCATTGAAAGGGCTTTTCGCTACCAAATGCGTACCAATAACAAGTCCTCTACTCTTTCCTCCCTTTGAATACAAAGTATCCCTAACCTTCGGGTTGGGTTTAATGGACCTTGAAGTGCCATAGGAGGTCCAAGTTGGAGCGCATCCACAAATAACTTCTCAAACCCTGATTTTCAACCCGTTGATTTCTAGAGAAGCGAGCTTTAGCCGCCGAGAAACTTAGCGACCACGTCGATCGAAAGCTGACGTTGAAAAAAGACGCCATGTGGACAGACGGGATTGCGCCATGAACATGTCGCAACTAGGAATTGTGGAAACTATTGATAAGGTAAACGCATAAAGATTGCTGGGTTCCCAAGCTTCGTCATACTCGATCCCGACGATGTGATTCCTTGCCTTCTGGTGTGTGATGAGGTAGCGGATACGGAGAGGAAAAAGCCGAGCCGGACAATACATTGACAACCACCTGGCCACCAATCGCGCGGTGCGTGGCCTTAACGTTTCCAAATCATGGCCCTACTGAGGCTTTCAAAAATCTCTTCCGTGTTACAACACCGGCGATTCCGTGACAATTTGAAAGTAATAATCTACACGTATACGTATACGTATCCACTTCTATCCGTTCCATGTAGTCCGCAAGCTGACGCCTCTGTGGTTGGGGATTTCGTACGCATCAAAAACCACCGTAAAAGGTCTACTTTTCGCTGATTTCAGTGCACAGTGTCGTGGCGTCGATCGACCAATTTTGATCATCGAAAGCCATTACTGATCCAACCCACGTGAGGCTTCTTGCAGCAGGAGCCGCCTTTTACCTCCTTTCTACTAGCCACTTGATAAGTCGTCTTAGCCGTTGTTATTACCATGGATACCCCCTGTGCGTACAATGTTCAGGGAACCAAACGATCGCAAGTCAACGTCCCATCGCCCATTGCTGTCCAGGCTCGATGCATGGTCTGCAGGGACGACCATATTTGTAAAAAATAGACTTCCTTACCTATCCGCCCCCAATCTGGAAGCCAGGGTCAACCCTACGTTGTGACGAGTCACAACGGGGGGGTCGTACTGAATTGAGCTTGGAGGGGGGGGGTCGTAATTTTTTGGTGGCCGGCACTGAAAATTCTTGGTGATGTCCTACTGAGTATGGATAGTGGTACGAAGGAGAAGAGCAAACGCAGCAAAGAAAGTGTTTGTGAATAGTTATAGCAATTATGCAAAGCCTTCTCCCTGCAAGGACGCAGTCATGAAGTGGAAGATTGCAGCATCCTGAAAAAAGTACTCGCATTGTGACAGCCACGAGACCACATATGAAACTAATGCCTTTAGAGACCAGCATGATAGCCGGCACGATACGTTTGCGCAAGATTACTGATACTAGAGCATCTGTAAACCACGCTTCCCTCTGAATGAGCTTTCAAATGAATCAGCGAATTAGAAGGGCGCCCGAGGCGTGGCGCGCACCAAGGCAAGGGATGTAGTGCAAGCGCATGCTCGGAGCATTCTAGCACATCCTAAATTAAACATGAAATTGGTCTTGCGAGATGTTACGGGCAGTGGAACTTAAGAAAACTCGCGCTTTCGAGAAAGTGGCTCAAAAAATACCCCTCAAATTTGAGGGTTACAACGGGACTAAATTTTGAACTACTGATTTTTCAGGAACGCTTGGGTACTCGTTAGAAAGCTTGAATCCTGGAGTGTGTTATATCGCGTTCAGCTTCCTAAATGAATGACTTTTAAGGAAGTTATGATCGTTTGAAGGTAAAAAAGTCGCGTTTTCAAAGAAATGGTTACACCAGCCCTTTATAATGGTTACAACGGGACTAAATTTTGAACTACTGATTTTGCAGGAACGTTTGGGTACTCGTTAGAAAGCTTGAATCCTGGAGTGTGTTATATCGCGTTCAGCTTCCTAAATGAATGACTTTGAAGGAAGTTATGATCGTTTGAAAGCAAAAAAGTCGGTTTGCACCAGAGAAAAGTCAACAACGTCCAAAATTTTTAATAAATTAACTTTCGAAGAATTTATACCCATGATTGGCTAGAGAATAATTTGAATTTTTTAAATCAAATCACTATGGCGCTGAAGCTCGAACATGAAGGAAGTTATAGCCCTAGAAAGAGGAGTGTAAAAATTCTCTTGCAATCTAATTTTTTGGCTTATAACTTTTTCATTGTGAAGGGTTTGAGAAAAAATGGGCACTCCTTGAGAAGGATGAACCACGCTGATCCAACATCCGCCGATATCTTCCGGACTACCTGAAATTAAACAAAAAAAACTCCTAAACTTTTCACATTCCCGTTCGACGGCTCCTCACCTTGAGCAGATGCGCTCCACCGTCAGCAAGGCAAAAGGGCGCCAACCAGCAAATTTGAAATCACATCGCATGATTGAAAGAGCATGGTTTCGTCTGACTTATTGTCTTTACAATCTTTCTGAACAGTTTGCACACATCTTCAAGCGGGCAAAAAATTTATTGATAGATGACTCATTTTTGGCGAAGTTTTCATTCAACGGCGGTCCACAATGTGTTAAGGCAACTGATTCAGTTTGGCGATCTCTTAGTTTAGTAACCCCTCGGGGTACCCTTCGGGTACCTTCGAGTGCATCTCATTATTCGGAAGCTGATTTGACTTGAGTAGCAATAAATATTAAGGTCAATCTGTCTTTACACAAGTGTAACGTACAAGGGGGGGGGTCGTATCAAATCAACCATGAAGGGGGGGGGTCGTAAAAAATTTTCGAAGAGTCACAACGATAGGGTTGACCCTGCTGAAGACGATAATAGGGCATTTCTTGCCGTCCTGTTCAATGGTCGCCAAAATTCTCAATCCAAACACAGAGAATCGGAGCTAGAGGAAACACCTATGTACACTAATATAAGGTACATGAAACTGCAAATATTACATGTTTTCATCAGTTTATCCACATTTTTGTGAAAACACGACCTTTCAACAAGCCCCATACATGATCTCTCCCTTGCTAAAAATGACAACCCTTTGTGGGTAGCTTACCGGCAGTAGATTGGCCTTGCTCGAAGTCCACCGCCCACCCGCCCGCCTTGACGCCCTTTTTTTGGAGCAACTTGATAGACAATGGTCGCCAAATTCTGCCAGCTGACAGACTTCAACCACAATCCAGAGACTGAAAAGCTCGATCCATTGGAGACATCCATGTACACTTATATACGTACATGAAACCGCAGATTCCACATGGTTTCATCAGTTTATCCACTTTTTTGTGAAAAATACGAGTTCTTTCAATAGTCCCCCAAAAACGACCTTCCCCTCGTTAAAAATCACAATCCTTTGTGGGTAGCTTGCCGGCAGTTGATTGGCCCTGCTCCAGTCCATAAGCTAAGAGCTGACTTCGGCAAGGTGCGTACCTGCAAAAGATTCTCCCAAGTGAGCAAACGTTGCCTTTTTACAATACGCCAAACCCCTACATACCGTCCGTTACGTCAGCTGGGGAGTCTGCACTACAGACTCTACAACACAAGTGACGACGCTCTGCAAAAGTTAATAGCTTTCTGCCAGCGAAAGGGCTAACCGCTTGCAGTTGTAATCTATATATTTCTTGTTGCCTACTACAAATACCATAAAATTTATCAACATGAGCTATCACTATAAACCACTGCTTATCGAATTTACTTAAATTTACTTGTAGGTCATCGTCAGTTGTTTTGTGGAGTCTGTACTGCAGAACATCCTGACAGCCGGAATTAAGGGAAATTGCCCAAAAGCCCCCATCCACTTCCCAAACATGCAAAATGGAATTAAAAAAAACTGTACCGTTTTCATCAGACTCCGATATGTGAAAACCTCATTTGGTTTTTCTGACGTCGTAGGTGACAAGCCATGTGGCCATGTCTAAACCATGACACTGTTACGCTAATTAAAACAGAAAATATAATTGAGCTCAAAATACTCCTGAAAAGCGGACCCAGACTCCTAGAAAGGATCAGAAGTGACCCATTTGGGCGCAGACCCGTCAGATACTGCAGATCGTCCCGGACCGTATCATTGATGACGAATATCTCCGGTTTGTGATGAACCTAGAAATATTGTATTAAGCTGTTTTAACTAATTGAAGTGCTCGAAAGACAGCGCCGGCTACACGCCAACCTCACTGATGGCCAAATGTGTTTTGGCGGTTGGATGGATCATAACGGAGTCGATCTCAGCTTGTCTCGCCGTATACAGCACTTTTTTTGACCAACAGCGTCAAATGGGAACATGACCAGCAAGCCTAAACTATCCATCTGACGAATGAAATTATTTTTCAGATTGTGCTGCAGGGCAGCCCCTTATCTTCAATCATTATGTAATCCGCCTTGCTTTCGAGTCCCCTATTCGACATGTAGAGGACCAAAGTATTTGCTCAACCACTAGGTTGCAGTTATACTCGGCGATCGACGTCACACGTCGACAGGCCGACACATGGTAGTATTCACATTGAAGAGACGAAGAATGGTGGATTAGCAGCACCACTTCGCGCAGGGACATCGTAGCTTTCTACAGACATAGCCCTTGTAATGCGTTTCTGCTTGTGTCGTGGTAAAAATCAAAGGAACCGTTCACGAAGATCTTGCATTCTTTGCCGACATGAATACG